TAGATTGTAGGAATAATATGGTTCCCTCTGGTTTTCGTGACTAGCTAGGCATTGTTTCTCTCTTGTATCGTCTCCCCCCTCTATCATGGTTTTCCCACTTAAGGTGCCCCCACTTCCCCCTCTTTCTTCCTTACTAATACCCTTGCTCCCATGATCCTACCTCTGTTGAACTTTTTCTTTCTCCTTATCCCCTCGGTTCCTCATATGCCCTTCCCTCCCCCCTCCCCTAATCTAACCCAATTTTTATCCAAATCTCCCTTCTTAAGGTCTGTTGCCTACTATTCTTCTCCTTCAGGTTATTTCTTTTCCTTTACCTCACTGTTTCCTTACCCTTGTCCTAGTTCCTGCAGTTATGTCTGTTTGCATAATTATTTATCAGAGTCTGATCTTAGGATCCACATATGAGGGAGAACATATGTCGATTTTTTTTCTGAGATTGTGTTACTTCACTTAGTATAACAGATTCTAGTTCCATCCATTTACCTGCAAATTTCATGATTTCATCTTTCTTTACTGCTGAGTAAAACTCCATCGTATATATGAACCACATTTTCATTATCCACTCATCAATTGAGGGACACCTAGGTTGCTTCCATCTCTTAGCTATTTTTTTAAGATCTCACTGAGCCCTTGCTGACCTGGACCTCACTATGCCAACGGCTGCCACCACCTCAGAGAGATCCACCTGTCTCTGCCTTCAAATGCTGGGACCAAGGTGTGCACTACCACATCACGCTGATTCTTTATTTTTCGACCACTATTTAATATATATTTTAACTTATTTGTCTCTCTTGTTAAAATGTATGTTTCATGGATGCAGCAACTCATGTTTCCACAGCATCTAGAATGTCATTGAACATGTGGTAGGTTTTTTAAATTAGGTTAATTGTACATTTATTTGGAAGAGCCAGAAATTATGTAAGAAATCTCATACACTGCATTATGTGCCCTATGGCCACTGCAACAAATTACCACAAACTTGTGACATATCAGAAACTTTTTCTCTGAAGTCTGTCAGCAGGGCTCCATTGGAAATGGCAGTGACTGCCAGCATGCCCTGTCTTGTAGCTGCACTATTTCATATCCTCCTCCTTCATATCGCCTTCTCTGTGTGCCTGATTCTCCTTCTCTCTCATGAGGGCATTTCTGGTGGCATTTGGGAGCCTTATTTCACAATTCTTAATTTAATCACAGTATAGACTTTGCCACACAGAGAACACTCACAGATTCTAGGGATTAGAACCTTTTGGTAGCCACCCACTATTCAGGGCATTATATGGACTTTTCCCATTTTCCAAAGGGTATAAGGTGGCAAAAGGCACACTGACAGAATCTGATGATCTACCCCATTTTGACATACTAATTTACTTGTGTATGTACTAATTACATACGGTTTTGTCACTCTTGTAGGTTCATGTATCTACAGACATAACCAAGACACCAAACAGTCCAGTATAAAACCCCCTGTTGCTTTTTCAGATCTTCCATAAAAAAAAAAAAAAAAAAAGGCTATTCCAAACTTTTTTATTGTTGAGTTGTAAGAGTTCTTTATATGTTCTGGAAGGGTACTATAAAAATCACCACCTCGAAGCGTGCACCAGTAGTTTCTAGCATAATCACAATATTGTGCTACCATCATGACTGTCAGTTCCACTTTGATCACCCCCAAAAGGAATTCTATGCTTGTTAGCAGTCATTTACCACTTCTTTCTCCCCTTAGCCAGTAACCATCACTGTTACTGTTTTACTTTTTACCCGTGTGGATTCGTCTATTCTGGATAGTACATATAAATAGAATCATATAATATATTGCCTTTATGACTAGCTTCTTTTATTTACCATTATGGTTTTAATCTTTTATGTATATGAGTAGAAAACCTGCATGTAGGTACACCACATGTTGTGCAGTGCCCACAGAGGCCAGAAGAGAGTGTTGGATCCCCTGAAACTGGAATTTCAGATGATTGTTAGCTGCTGTGTGGGTGCTGAGAGCAGAACCCAGGTCCTCTATAAGAACAGCCAGTGGGCTTAACTGCTGAGCCATTTCTCCATCCCTAGCATTAAACTTTCAGGGCTTATATGTAACGTAGCAAAAAGGAAAACTTAATTTTTATGGCTAAGTAATACTTTATTATATGGGTATACCACTGTATTAGTTTTCTGTTGCTATGATAAGATACCATGGCCAACAGCTGCTTACAGAAGAGTTTATTTTGGCTTGCATTTCCATTGGGTTATAGTCCCTAATGGAGGAGAGGATGTGACACCAGGCCACAGGAGCAAGAACCCAGCTGGTCACATTTCCATCCTCACACAGGAAGCAAAGGGAACAAACTGAACTGGGGAGAGGATGTAAACTTTGAAAGCCTGCTCCTAGTGATATGCTTTCTCCTGTAAAACTCTGTATCTTAAAAGTTCCATAACTTCTCCAAACAGTACCACTAACTGAAGACCAAGTGTTCAGATATATGAACCTATGGGGGACATTTCTCATTCAATCCACCACAACCACCTTTTGCTGTCTGTTCATCAACAGATTAATATTTTTATACACATTTCAAAAAAAACTGTTATTCCTAATGCCACTAAAAACACTAATGCTTTTTTTCATTTTGCCTTGATATTTTTCTGTCATTAAACACTGTATTTCCAAGATTCCAGTATATCGTATACAGTAGGTATTAAATACTCCCTCAGAAAAGCCTTTGAATCACATTTGGCTACCCTCCAAATGAATAGGTGGAGGTGACCATAACATTTGTAAACTTGGTGGTAGTGATAGTGACTGAATGGTCAGAACAGTGAAAGATTAGGGCTGGGTAAGTGGGCAAGCAAGAAGGAACTAATGAGGAAAGCATAGGGCACTCACTGGGTTGGCTGTCCCTCTGACCACCACAAAAGGGGCTAAAGGGGAGTTACGTTCATTTTAGTTCATAGTTGAGAGAGTGTCAGCAGTGTGGGGACAATATGGCAGCCGGAGTTGGTAGGTAGAGGAGGCTGAAGCAGCCAGTTTCACACATGGAAAGAGGGCCTGCCTAAACCCTCAGAGCCAACCCCTATGGCCCCATATCTGACAGTTGGTCCCATAGGATAGCAGAAATAAACCATGATCACAGTAATGGTCAGAAAAAATAAAAATCCTTATTTAAAATTCATGGCCCGTTCCAGGTTTTGAAAAATAGCAACATAAATAAAAGAACGTATCACAGTAAGAATAGAAATAAACTTCCTTAGCTTGATAAAGGATGTTTTCTTTTTAAAAAAAAGTTGTTAATATCTGTTTTATGGAGAACTGGAACTGTAATCTTTATGTATAAAAGGAGAAAGGTATTAAGGATGTCCAAATCCTGTCTTGAATTTAGAATTCTACCCAGAAACTAGACAACATAATGGGAAAAGAAGAATAAATTTAAGATATTAAATTGGGGCAAAAAAGGGCAGCACTGTCATTATTTGCCAAAACTGTAATAGTCACAAAGAAAATCCAAGAGAATCTATTAACAAACTTCTTCGTTTCATATTTTTTATATTTTTAGAGAATTTACATTTATGTCATAAAAAATTTAAAATAGAAAAGTAATGTATTATTTTATCTAAAAGATTATTATTTAATGTAGTTGTATTATAGTATTCTTTTGCTTATTTTTATTTTATGTGTATGAGTGTATTGCCTGCATGTGTGTAAGTGCACCTGTGTCATGAAATGCATGCAGAGTCCAAAAGAGGGAGTGGGATCCCCTAGAACTGGAGTTACAGATAGTTGTTAGCCACTGTATGGGTGCTGGGAATCGAACCCAGGCCTCTGCAAGAGCAGTCAGTGCTCTTAACCACAGAACCCTCTCTCCAGCCCCATATTATAGTATTTTAAGAAGTTTTGGAAATAATTTTCAAAATCAAGTTATTTTCTTTTCTTCTAGAGCTACAGAGACTTCTGAATTAGAAAGTCTGCGACCCCCCCGGTTCTTCAGTGAAGATGGAGTCATCAGACCTTACAGATTGAGGGATGGTACTGGAAATCAAATGTTACAGGTAAGTGAAGAAACGTGTTACAAATTAAAACCAAATTATACAAGTTAGACTTTTTTAAAAATTATACAGTACTTTTAAAAATACAACAGGCTTTTGTCTTTTTAATTTCAGTTATACTTTTATTTATGTAGACTTTAAAGTACATTTATTTACTATAAGATTTTTTTTTTCTTTTTTACAGGCATCAAAAAGTTTGATATGAAAACAGTTAATGCATGACTTTGCAAGTGAAAGCCAGCAGTAGATTTAGTCTTAAACTTTTACAAACTCTGTGCAGCCATTTCAGTATTTTGAATATAAAGAAAAAATTTTGTATTGGTAACTTATAGGAATTTCGGTCAATCTAATATTTCTATAGATTATTCTTGGTTCTGCATTGGTTATTCTAGATGTGGTGAAAGCTAATGTGTCTTATGTGCCCTTTATAGTTGATGGTCTATATTTAGTTAGACTACTTCTGTTTGGAGTACTCCTGTTTCTCACACTGTTGTTGGTTTTTATATTAAATATAGTCTTAATTTCCACTTCAGCATAAAGAAGAAAAAAAGATAACTCAGGAACACTGCTACCACAGGTCATTCATTGGTCTTTAAGCATTAGGCTGTGTAAAGCTTTGTGAGATTTCATGCATAGTTTGTAACAAACAGCATCTTTTAATAAGGAAAAATAACTTTGTGTGCAGTAGACAGTTTGAAGGTAGACTGTTTTGCCAGTTATGGGAGCTTTGTTACTTGGTAACTCAAACTTTAAAGCTAGATTGTGGTAGACGTAATAGAAATCCTATACCAGGCTATCCCAGGGTAAAGTTGTGTCTGTGGTTTTGAGGTGGAATTCTAAATTAAACTATTTATTTGAAAAACGAGTCAGTATGTTATATAGATTTGAAAATATTCATGGTAATAATAAACTGTTAATATGTGGACCTTGTTTCAAATTACCAGGGCGAAGACAACTTTTAATATTTTACCCACATAGAGTCTTTAATGCGTTAAATGTACTTCTACATCTGAGTCTTCTATTTGACATAGCATTAATGTACCCTATTCAGTAAAATGACTTTATACTATGATTTTTAAATGTTGTTAAAGCACCAAAGTACTTGCATATTGAGATATAATTGGTACTCTGTTGAGAGGTTGTGCCTAAGAGACATATTTTGCAATCTCTACAATGAAAGTGTATTATTCTTTGAAGACAGAAAAGTTGCAGATGTCACCTATGGCTAATCCAATTGAAGTATTTCCACCCAATACTTGCCTTCTCTTTTTAGAACATTTTGCTATACTGAAAGTTTAAGTTTCAGATACACCTTTTCAAAATGATTTTTTTTGCCAGGTGGTATGGCACACACCTTTAATCCCAGCATTTGGGAGGCAAGCACAAGCAGATCTCTATGACTTTGAGGCCAGCCTGGTCTACATAGGGAGTTTGTGGCTAGCCAGGGCTATACATAATAAGATCCTCTCTTAAAAAGCCACACACACACACACACACACACACACACACACACACACATACATATGTTCTTGAGACATATATATATTTCTCAAGAATTATTTTAATAAACCTATTAAGAAACATGGGTGAATAGTGAGGAGAATTTAATAATGCCCTCCTCACTATTAGAGAACAGGCTGTACTAAAAATTTCTCATGGTTGATAATTTGACTTCAGTAGCAAGTAAGTTTACTCCGTACCTTACTTGTTTTCTTTGGGCTATGAAAGCATGAGTTGCTACTCTGTTTAAAGATGCATATTTTCAGTAGGCCGGTCTTAGCTAAAAGTGCTGTTTCAATGATTAGAAACTCATAATCCCTGACAGCTATTGTTTTGCAGCAAGAGCGTTGAACACAGTATTAATTTGAATAGACTATAGGCTATTATAAATCTTTATAAGATTTATTTACAGATACAAGAAGTAGGTTGCTGTTTTAGTAGTAATAGTTCTTTTCTAAACTAAAATTACTGTATTAGCATATCTGTTAAAATATAATAAAATGTGTATTAAAATATAGTATAAAATTGGTAGAGAGCTTATTTAGCATGCCAGAAGCCCTGGATTTGATCCTGAGCAGGCGTGGTAGTGCACACTCCCTAGCATTAGGGAGGTGGAAGCAGGAAGATGAGAGGCTCAAGGCCATCCTCAGATAGTAGTTTCAAGATCAGCCTGTGATACAATGAGACCTTATTTCAAAAATAAAAACCTCATCTGCCTAAATTTCATCGAAGAGATCTAATAATGGTGGTATTATTTTCTAGTGTTTCTCCCTTTTTTGCTATTTCTAATAAAAATTATCTGTGTTGACTGAATTACATATGTTTGTGTATAATAGTTAAATATAAAATACAGGCTTTCATTGTATGCCATTCTCTCTAAAAAACAGCACATTATTTCAGTGCTTCCTAGTAGTTGAATTATTTTCATCTCTTCATAGAACACTTTATTGATACCATGAAACCACTTCAAACATTGGGTGTGTATATGGAGGTTAGTCTTAGGCTTGTTAAGGTATGAAGTCTTATATCCACTATTACAGCGTGAATCACAGCTGAAAAACCTGCTTTAAAATTATTATAGGTCCTTGAACATTTCATAATTTTAACATGTTTTTTCCTATAATTTTCCATACTTAACTAACCTTTATGCTTCTTTTTCCTTTACCATGCTTACAGAAAATTCAGGTCTACAGGGAATGGATTATGACTCACAATAACAGTAGTGATGAGGAGGAGGAGGAGGAGGAGAATTAGTCAGAGCTAAACTGTTAAGATTCATATGCTCTTTATCATTTTACCTGGAAAATGTTTTGTATAACTGCTATCACTATGCCCCTATGTCCATTTTTAAGGAAGTAAAACATATTTTCATTTTAAAATGTTTTTCTGGACATCATGATAAAGCAAAATAATTACATTATTTACACATAGAGAGAGAATGTATTTATTCAAAGTAGAGCATATCATATAAATTTACTTTTATATATCACAACTTTGTGTTACACAGTTTGTCTAAGACTTATAGTTAGACTTAAATATAGTTTTTAATGTTCACTATTTCTATTTTAAATGATCTACTTATTAGCAAATGACTTTTTCATTAAAATGTTGTATAAATTTTCTGGGCTGAAATGTAATACCATTGTTTAAAGGAAAAAGAGTGGGAGGGGGAAGAGTAGGAATATTACTGGATGTTTTATATTTATTTAACCGTAAAGGTATTTTGTCAAATTTCTTTTCATAATAAACTTACATAACTTGAAGCTGTGTGGATTTGTTCTATTCCAGAGTCATCTAAGTTGAACTATTATAAAAAGCAGTCATGATTTCTCATGGAATATTAGATAATGAAGTATAGCCAGAAAATGAAATAATTATTTAATTCTGTGATTTACTCATATTTTAAAACAACAAACTCAACTTTGCAGTCTTATTTATTAGCTAGTTCACATTATCTATAAACTACTGTGTCTATTACAAAATGTTGTAAATTAATTCAGGAAAATAAGAGAATTGGTATAATAAACAAGCATTTTTCTGCATATGAAGAACAGTTTTCTTTGTCTCTAATAAGAGTTTTACAAGCAAATTTGCTTTATGTTTGGGGTACTGAATTTTCTAAAATTTCAACTTACACAAATCTAATTCTCTTGTCTTATTACCCTAACGTATCAGATGTACTAAAAACAGCAAAATAACAGTTTAATGCTTAGTCCCTTATGATTACTATGCTTTTAGATTAACAAAGGAATATTTATATTAAGCACTTTGTTTATATTGAACTTATAATAGGTTATAGACAATCATTTACTGAACTTTCGAGTTTTGTTTCAACCCATAATTTCTGAGTTTAATCTCTTGGGTTTATCATGTTTTTATTCATATACACCATTATTTGCTGTGTTCTTCGAAAGGACTACCCTGAATTTTTAAATACTGAGCTCACCCAGAGCTGTCAAGATCAGCTTTAACAGTAGTCAGTTTTTTGGCAGTTTGTATCTTCCCAGCATTCACTCCGATTAAAACAAAATTAAGGACATGTATAGCCAGACCTGGAAGTAAGTAAATGTCAGAGTATTTATTATTTTCATCTCAGTAATACTCCTGAGAATATATGTTAAAAATTGGATTGCAAAAATAATTGATACCAGTATCACACTGAATTTCTCTGTCATACACTCACTAATTTCTCACTTATGGCCCAAATCACCAAGTTCCTACTTGAGCTAGAAGCTAGAAGGAACACAACCCGATGTGTACTCTGTGTGCCTAAGGGAGGAAAGGCCGAGAAATGTCTTCATTGGTTTCTCACATTGCAGATTTACTGGCATGAGGCCTTTGTAACAGAGGAAATCTTAAACTATTGACTAACAAGACATTTTTTTAGCTTTTCTATCATTAATCTGTGATGCTTATTTCTATGAAACCAATTTCATAGAGATGATCTTACCCTATTTCTTAAGAATTTATCTAGAAAAGTTCTGGTTATTTTGGTAGTGACTTGCCATTTTAATAGAAAATTAGAAGTAGAATTACATTTATTTAAAAATCTCTTCAAAGTTCTAGCAGTCAGTAAAGTTTAAGTTATGTTCTTGGGGCTCCTTGTTCTTTCGGTTTCATCTTTGGAACTGTGGTACATTGTTTAGTGGTATAATGGCCCTTTTCCATTTATGTTTTTCTGCCACAGTGAAGTCTTTTCAAAATTCTTTAACCACCAGTATTAATTGGTTTTCTAAGTTTTTTCATAATGCTGCTTTTATCAGAGAAAAATTTAACACTGAAAATTGTTCTGTCTTATGCCATGCTTGTCTTGGTTGGGATATAGAACTGGAGAAAGATACTTCCTCATTCCTCACCTAAAGACAGAAAATGAGTTCACCTTTGAGAGTCTAGTAAATCAAGTAGTTTTTTTAAATTAATAACTATATAATTAGAGGTTTTTAAATGCTACCTGTCCAGTTGTAAAGCCCATGAAAAAGGAATATCCGAAAATAGACTTGTAA